CAAAAAATGCTGCAGAGAGCTGCTGGGGATGGTATGCTACCCTCCACATCCCTTTCGAAAGCAGCAAAGAGGAGAATCTGTTTCCCACTTGCCACCTCCCCCCCACACACCACTGAACCACTTGCTGATTCACGCCTATCTCCTGCTGCTGGAGCCACAATTGCGATTCTCCCCTCACCCCCTCACTTCACTCCTGCCACCACTGACATTCCCTGATGCTTCCTCCTGCACATCCGGATGGGAAGAGCTTGGGGTGTGTCATCGCTAACAGCCTCCTAACCCTTAAGGGACATGAGGAACTGCCTGTGTGACCTGCCTGGCACAAGGCCAGCTGTGAGCTGGTAGGGACACGACACATGGCAGCTGTTATAATCGACTGTGTCCTTCCCCAGCTCCCATGCTTCAAATTAAAAATTCTACATTGGCCCAAATCAACATAAAACCTTTAATTTTCTTCCTGGACACTACTAACTAGATAATTAACTAGACACACTAACTAGATAACTGCTCCCTTTGTGCCTCAGCTCACGCTGTGGAGACATAGGTCTCTGCCAAATTACTTTGTCTCAGTGCCGTATTCGAAAGGAGAAGCCATCTCAGTAAAGAAATCGGATCCTAATGGCAGAGGCCAATAAAGAACAACATTGTGCAAGAGGAAACGCACAGCCTCCCAGTACTCAGCCAGCTAAGCACAAGCACGGTCTCTTTATTCACGGCAGGAACAAAGTTACCCTTTGAAGTAACTTAATATCATACCTGAGCACCCCACTCTGCAGACCAGAGGGGAGGCGGGTTGCATTATTCTCACCGGTGACTGTCACTTCTAAATCACTTGCGGCTAGAGAGAGGTCCACTGACTGACTGCTCCAATCAATGACACTCCCAAGTCAGTTACCACTTTTAAAAATAGTTCCTGCTTTTAGAATTTAAGACAATTCCTCTGCCATACAAATGGGCTCCAAATGATATCTTTGTGATCCTGGGCCTGCTGACACCCCCAAGAGAGGGGAACAGGGCCCAGACAGGGCCTGGATATGTGGACAGGAAGAGTGCCAGCTGACAACTACAGGGAATAATTCATCTGCGACTTTCTAAAGGCCCCAGCCCAGTGTGGTGGAGGTAAAGTTCACCAGCTGGTCCACGAGCTGGAGATCAGAGACCCACTGACTTTCCACTTACCAGCCGTGTGACCTTGGGCAAGTTACTCCATTATTCTGAACCGCAAGGTCCACACTTGGAAAAGGAGGTGCCTCACCCCCACAGCCCACCATTCCCAGTGCCTGGCTTTGCCTCACTGTCCCCCACCACTTAGGGAGCTTACAGACCATTTGTTTATCTGATACAGGCGAGTCTGTCTGTCCTCCTCCCGTGAGGACTGTGACCCTCTATGTCCTATCCCCAACTACCATCCCAGAGGCTCAAGTAGAGAATCCTTTAGGGGAATGGAATTATATGAAAAGTTTTATGCAGAGTCTGACTCTCCACCTGATAGGACTTCATTAAATAGCTACTGAATGTACCATGACACACAGCACCTGAGGGGTGTCAACAGACCTCAACTCCAGCCCTGGCACCTGGCTGCAGGCATAATGGGCACCCATCAATTGTTAGTCCCTCGGCCCACAGGGCATGTGACTCCCACACTCTATTATGTGTCATGGCTCTCTGATGATACAGACACCCTTCCCAATATGTAAACAGGGGCCAGATGTCAAGCTTCAGACCTCCTAGAAGGGCACTCACTCTAAACCCTCCATTGTACTTCTAGAATTTGAGTCCACAATTAAATATCCAGGCCTAAGAATTCTCTCTCTAAAACTCAGGAAACCTGTCAACTCTGATTTTCCCTCACAACTGTCAGGAGATGAGTGAGGCTGCCTGCTCCCTGCAGGTGGGCATTCACTCACCTGTTCAGAACAGCCTCAGGGTTGCCCTCTCCAGCTCTGGCCCCTGGAAATCTACAGGGCTTGGACCAGCATGAGCCAGCACTAATCTACAGCTCCCCAGTGCAGGTCAGAAGGCCTGAGGCTCCTGGGCCCCAGCTAGTTAACTTCGCTGGAGATTCTTCTCCCTTTCTCAAGGCACTGAATAAGCAAAGTCTGCTCCCCAACCTCTCTCAACCTTTCCTGCAAAAATTGCTTCTTCCTGACACAGGGATTAATTGTCTCTCTCCTTGGCACGGGAAAAACCAGAGGCCTCTCCTGATGTCTCACCTTTCCTGGCCAGGGGCAGCGGCAACACAGGATGAGAGCAGTGTAGAAGGAAACAGCAGCCCTCACAACAGCCACAGTGACAGTGCCGAGTCCCCAGCCAGGACAGTGGTTCAGACATGGCAAGCTCAAATCATCCAATCAATCATCTGAGAAATGATTGCGGTCACAGTACCTGTGATCTACTGTTAGGAGACCTGCCTGCCCCCACCCACGATGCAACATGGTGCCTGAGTTCACCCTGTATTCCTCACCCACAGCCAGCTCGCTGCAGTCACACAACACCAGAGAGGGGAAAGACACAGAGACATCTCTGGACTTCTGCAGAAGGCCCCTGAGACAGCTCTCCTGAGGGAGCTGGGCATTGGAGCAAAGCCCAGACCTGCATCTCCACCCTAGGTGCTGATGGGGAGACGACAAGCCACTTCACCTCCACACTCAGCGTGCCCATCCAGGAGGTAGTGAGAATAAAGTCTTCCTACCAGCTTTTCAGGAGTTTGGGGGTGGGAGGTGTTTAGTAAAAACTACCTAATAGAAGGCATTTTTATTCTTGGGCTATTTTGAACAAAATCGTAAGTGATCTGTATGTCTTCATGTATCCGAGAGATCCCAAGTTGAACAGACAGTTTGTAAAACTGACAAGAGCCAAGCTCTGGAAGGGGGGGCTCTAATTCTGCAGTGGTTCTGGGACAGGGCAGTAGGAAAGCCGGATGGAGAGTGACAGGAGGTCCGTGAGAAACTTTGGGCAAATCTCTAGGTCTCAGTTTCCTCCTGCGACCCTCAGGGGCCGTAGATGCCCTCCAGCGGCCTTTGTGCTCCAGCCCTTGGCGGCTACCCTAACCTCCCCCCCAAACACCCACCCACCCAAGTATCCTGCATCACTCGGGAACCGCAGCTGACAAGGCCAGGACACTGCTGGGGAGCTCAGAACCAAAGCCGTCCTGCCGCTCAGCATCACTGAACGGCCTGTGCCACATCATCCCTTCTCCGGGCTTCCTGGAGTAGCACTTAAGCCCCCAAACTGAGTACCATCAGTTCAACAAACACGGTGAAGGAGCCCAGCTGTAACAGTAGCTCCACGCCTGCTGGGAGACCGGAGAATGGAGGAGGGAGCCGAGGAGATGGCCCCAGCCCTGAGCCTGGTCGCCTCCTCCGAGAATCTCCCTACACCAGCAGCCTGAAACTGAGCCCCAGCCTTCCGCGTCTACACCCCACACACACACAGCCGCCCGCCTACTCGGGCTCAGGGAGGGCGGGCACCGTGGGCACCCAGATCGCGACGGGGCGGTCAACCTGCGGTGCCCAGGACCCAGGCAGCTCGGGATCATAAACACGCACACACGCGCGCACACGCTGGCCAATCGCTTCGCCTGGAGGAGTCGCGAAGGCGCTTCCACCGTCTTCATTCATTCCCGCAAAGACAAGGCTCACTTCTCCTGCTGGCGCCTCCATACCGCGATCCCGGAGAGTGGGGGTTGGTGCACAGGGGCCAACTGCGCCATAACCCCCAACTCAGGCACCCACAGCCACCGTGTCGTCTCCACAAGCACACACAAACCAACAGACTCCCACTCCATCTCGATCGCCAGCGTCGCCCCCGCACCAGGGCCGCTGCCACCCGGCTCCCCACAGCTTCTCTACCCTGAGCCCTGGCTCCCCAGCGCGTGGCTCAGACCTGCCTCGCTCGGCCCATCGCGCTCAGGCCGGCCGGGGACGCCGCTGCAGCCGCCGCGAAGCGCCAGCAACTCCCGAGTCACGCTGCCTCCCGAGACACTGCGGGGCGCCGGGAAGGGACAGGGGGCGGGAGCGGAGAGGAGGGGGCGGGAAGCAAAAGTTCAGACCACTTGGGGCTCAACCGCGCCCCCATCTCTTCCCAGGCCCGGCCCTGCTGGAGCTGGGTCCCACCGGCATCTGCGCCTGACAGCCCCTCCTTCCCTCCTAGAGGGGCAGCAGAAATAGAGTCGGGCTTTTGGAAGCAGTTCGTAGCCAGAGCCCAGACCGAGAGTGGCCGTGCCCACCTACCTGCCCCGGGCCGCGCCCGGAAACTTCCCCGAAGTGCGGAGGTGCGGGGGAGGAGAGGCAGGGGGAAACGGAGCGCACCGCTGGCGGGAATTCCCGTCTCCCTCCACCACCCCGCGCGCTCCTGCCCGTGAAAGCGCGGGTCTGGTGGCAGTCTGGCCGTTCTCCGCCTGAGGCTTCCAGTGAGGCACGGCACTCGGGTGCTCGGATTCCGACTCCTGGGGTCGTTCTCCCGGACAGGCCAGTGAGTGCCCCGCGACGTGCGCCCTCCCCCACCCCAGCCGATCTCCAGGCTGTCCACAGCGCCACCACGCCACCGTCTGTCCCCAGTCCCCGAGCTCCGGCCGCATTCTCTCGGGCCAGGGAGGGGGCGTGCGAGCCCCGGCGCCGCCGGCAGGCAGCCCTTCCGCCCGGTCCCCAAGCGCGCAGGGCGCTGGGAGAGCAGCCAGGACCCACGGCGAAGGGCTGCCTTCCGCTGGGGGTCTCAGAAGCCTCGGAGAGGCAGGGTCGAGGAACGTGGGGCCCAAACCTGCCTCGGCACTGCACGCTCGCAAGTTCATTGTTTGCCTGGGCCGCGGCCGCCGCCGCGCCAGGAGCGCCGCGGGGAATGAGGCTGCTCGCAGCCTCCGCCGCCCGGACTCCCAGCGCCGAGCCCGGGCCGTCGCCGGCGCTGCCCCGCCAGAGCCCGCAGAGGGACACCGCAGCCGAGAGCCAGACCTCCGCCCGCAGCTGCTCGCCGCCCCCACCCGGTGCCTGACTCCCAACTTGTACCTGAGAAGCCCGAGTCCGACCCGGGAGCCTCTGCGGCTCCAGCTCCGCGGGAACGCGCCCAGCCCCGCGCCTCGGGCCCCGCATCCAGGGCGCGACAACCTGACTCCTAGAGCGCTGGGAGGAAAAGTTTGGGAGTGACGTGCAGATGGCGAATGAAACATCCGAAGAAAGCCCTCCCCCCGCCCCATGTCGCGCTGACACACATCAACTCGAGTCTGGAACGTTAAGATCTAGGCTTGTGCGCCCAGCGGTGGGTTTGGTACCCGCCCACTCCAAGTAAACACGGTTTGTGTGATGCGGTGATTCTAAATAAGAAGTAAACCTAAACCTCTGAAGTCTGGCAGTGACACCTAACTAGAGACATTCTTGAGGAACTTGGTGCCCTGAAGGCAGCCCATCCATTAATATTCAAGGCTGCCTTACTGGTGGGTCCAGCGCCCTCTGTTGTATTTTTGCATCCGGCGGAGGTTGACCGGCGGGCGTGTTTGCTTCTGCGGGGAGAGACGGGTCAGCGGGACCCCAAGCGCCAGCGCCTGCCGCAGTGGCCCGGAGGCGGCTGTTCAGCAAACTCCTGGGCAGTCCAGGGCAAGGAAGGAGCACCAGTGGCCGACTCCCTGGACTCTGGGTTGAACGTGCCATCAGCTAAAGAAAAGACACTTGGAATTCTGAAAGGCTCGCCCAGGAGGCTCTTGGAATACCAAGCCTAGCCTCTCAAGAAACTGAGATCCAAGGGACGAAAGAATCTTGTCTTTTTCCTGCCATATTCCCAAGACCTGAGTCCTGTACCCTCTCTTAAAAGCAACCAGAAGTGAAGCTGAAAGGGCTTGTAAACTGTAGAGCATTAGCATGCCCATGTGAAGGGTAACTCCTGACAGTGCCTTGCTTCCCTTTTCTTTTTCCTGCGTAAAGCATCTTCTCACCCTCCAGAAGCCACAACCCACCCTGAGGTTGCAAACTTCTGCTCAGCATCCATGGCAACTAACTCAGAGGTCACAATCTGAGGATTATAACTGCACATGGGGAACTGAGATGAGAGGGGAGTTCTTTAAAACCCTGTCTTGTTTTCCTGCAAATAATGCCTCTTACATAAAATCGGCAAAGAAAGATTAATGCAACAAGAGACCAGCCTCAGAATCTCAGACGACATTGGGTTTTTTTCCCCATATAGACTCCACTTGGTGATTTTTGTTCTTTATTATTTTTTTAAACAAAAACCTTTTTCTGAAAATACAATGAGCTGCTTTCTTCAGGGTTCACAACTCCCAGTAGATGATGATGCCATTTTTCAAGGTCTTACACACGTTGTGGCTTTGGGCCTTATTTATTAGCTCCCAAGAAAAGCCTGCCTTTCAGTGAGGTTTATAAAGTGGAGTAATTGCAGCAAGAGACACAGTGCAGGTTGCTGTTAAAGAGGGTGGCTGTACGTGCGTCTGCAGGGAAGGCCCTGGGCCAGGCAGCTGTCAGACCAGAGTGTGCCACGGGTTTAAACAAACACAGGGAAGGTTCTGCGGAAACACGGAGGAGGAAATCCCCTCCTGTAAGGACGTGTGGAACATTATTCCGTGGCCACACATGCTGCCTCTTTCCTCTTCTCCTTCCAAGTAAATACATGACTTTGTTATGGAGATGGCACTGGGCCCATCCAGACCACTTTCAAATTCAGGTGTCAGAAATCACAGTAGACATGGAGCAAATTGTTTTAAAGTAAAATCATGGTGCTGCTTTGATAGGAATTCCACCAGGGACTTTCCAAAGGTATTTATACACGTGCCTGAAATTCACTAGACCAGTGGTTCTCAACCTTCCTAAAGCCACGACCCTTTAATACAGTTCCTCATGTTGTGGTGACCTCCAACCATAAAATTATTTTCGTTGCTACTTTATAACTGTAATTTTGCTACTGTTATGAATGTAAATATCTGATATGCACCATGGTCTTAGGCCACCCCTGTGAAAGGGTTGTTCAACCCCCAAAGGGGTCATGACCCACAGGTTGAGAACCCCTGAACTAGAGGGTGATTTCCCCCCTCAAAATGAATTTCCAAAAATCACCCAAGAATTGCACTTGGGCATGTTATACTGGAGAGGGAGAATAAAGAGAACACCCAAATGCCAGGCCTGGATGGATGGACAGATGGATGGGTAACCATGAAAGAAGTTGGTGCCCAAATGGCGTTGCCAACTCGTGGATAAAAAAAATTGCAGATAATTTAAAAAGACAAATACTCCTTCCTGTGTGAGTACTCTAGGCCTCCATTCAAATGGGATTTAAATAGCCTGGGTTCAAATTTTAGTTCTGTCATCCATGGGGTCCCTTGGGCAAGTCACTTCACTTCTCTGTGTGTTTGCGGCTTACAATAGTACTTCCTGGTGGTAGATTGAATTACTGATGCCAATTCTTCATCCTCCTATGGTGGTATTGCACATCCACACCCCTGTCATAGCCTCATATGTGTGGATTGTTCCTTCCCATTCCTTGACTTTGGACTTGCCTTAAACCAGTGGTTCTCAACCTTCCTAATGCCACAACCCTTTAATACAGTTCCTCATGTGTGGTGACCCCCCAACCATAAAATTATTCTCATAGCCACTTCATAACTAATTTTCCTACTGTTATGAATCGTAATGTAAATATCTGCTATGCAGGAGACCCCTAAAGGAGTCACCACCCACAGGCTGAGAACCGCTGCCTTAGATGATGAGATGGGTATTAGAGAATGTAACTGGATCAGAGACTTGAAGTGTGCTTGCGGGGCTGGGCTCGCTTTCCTATGCTCTGGCTGATCCTGAATGACAAGGTCATGTCCTGAGCAGCTGCTGCCTCTTCCAGTAAGGCTGCAGAATGAACACACATGGAGTAGACCTAATTTCAGCCTCAGGTCACATCACCCACCTACAGCGGGACTCATAGCTGCTCCAGCTGACCTACAGGCACATAAGCAAGGTGGGTACATGCTCCTTGTTATAAGCCACTGAATGTCAGAGTTTTGTTACACAGCGTCATTATGACAGTAGCTCGCTGATACATTGCCTCAGGGGCCTGGTGTGAAGATTAAAGACAAAATGTTTGAAAATACTAACTACAATTCTTGGAACATAGTACTAGTTCAAAATATTAGTTATTATTGGCAATTATCATTATGGAACGTAGTTTTGCCCATAGTGGTCACATTAAAAAGTTTATGAACTAATTAATTCAATCAGTAAATACATATAACTTGACTAAAGATTCTCTAGGAATCAGAAAACCAGAAGATCAGGGCCCTGCTATGATCCTTAAAATCACATTCTCTCACATGCCTATTCACTCGTTCATTCAGAAGATGTCCTCTGAACACCTGCTATGTGCCACACATTGGGCTGAATGTTGGAGCCACAAAGATGACTAAGACTTGGTGCCCTTTCGAGGAGGGGGACCTATAAAGCCCCACCATGGAATAAGCACTCTGCTAAGCAATTTCCCATGCTACATAATTTAACCCTCATAACAGCCTTGCAAGGCGAATATTACTTATCCCCATTTTTCAGGTAAGGAGACTGAGGCTCAGAAACCAAACACTTAGGAAAAGACCACAGGCCGCTCCTGTCCCATTAGTGTGTGCTAGTGCCAGTGAACTCAAGGAAAGTATTGTGGGGCAGGGGAAAGGGTGAGCACAGCTTGGGTGAATATGGCTCTCTGCCGCATGTGTGCTAGAGTTCTAGTAAACATCGAGGCCAGAAGACCCTGGTTCTGCTTCTGCCCCTGTAAAGGGCTGCCCCTGAGTGCAAGGGGGCCCTTGGGGTTGTTGCAAAGGTTCTCAAATTCATTTTGGCAGCCTTGGCTTCAGATTTCTACCACCTCTGCCATCAGTAATGACCTGCCTCCCATTCTGTGACTTTGACAAATTTAGACTGCTCAGTAACCTGAAGTGCATTTCAATTTCATAAATTTAGAAATACTGTGGTTAGGCAGCTCCCTTCTGCAGTAATGCATCCATTAAGTGCACTTTAAGCCAATTTCGGTATGCTAATCCATCACGAATCGACGTGAAATTTGGGTTCTTGTGAAAATTTCCCACACCCGATCCAAAATCTCTACAGGATTTAGGGTAATAACAACTAACGGTTCCTTAAAGCAGCAGACTTCGACTCTGCATCTAACCTTCAGTAAAGAAAGAAATATGGCTAGTTTTACAGGAACATCAGACTTGTGTGTTAGCGTGAAGGCTGATTGCTCTAACGGGCTGCCCCTGAGAGAGTTTACTTGTTACAAAAATGCTGTTGCAGCTTTAAAGTTCCAGAATCCCCTTGCAGAGAAAGGGGTCATGCAAGTCCGGCATTCCCAGTCCCTAGCTCAGAGCCCAGCGAATGTTTGGCAACTAACTCAGTTGGAATCACCTGGTTTGATTAGTGATCATTTATCAGACTTGCTTCATACAGGTGGCCATAAAGTTCACATGAAATTTAAAATAGTGTGCAACTATCAGCACACATCCCCCCACCCTGGGTGAGGGGCTCTCCTACAACTTGGACTTTACCCTGGGAGTGAGAATGTAACATAAAAATTTGTACCCTGGCTCGGCGCCTATAGCTCAGCGGGCTAAGGCGCCAGCCACGTACACCTAGGGTGGCGGGTTCGAATCCCCAGCCCGGGCCCGCCAAAACAAGAATGACGGCTGCAACCAAAGAATGGCCGGGCGTTGTGGCGGGCGCCTGTGGTCCCAGCTGCTTGGGAGGCGGAGGCAGGAGACTCGCTTGAGCCCAGGAGTTGGAGGTTGCTGTGAGCTGTAATGCCACGGCACTCCGCCCGGGGGGAAAGCTTGAGGCTCTGTCTCAAAAAAAAAAAAAAAAAAAAAAAAAAAAAAATTTGTACCCTAATTTTAATTAGAAATAAAAAAAGAAAATATATATATTTCCTTATTCACATTCCAAAATGAAAATAAAATAGTGTGTAATTTTAAATTGCACGTGTACTTTATAGCCACCCTGTATGATTTTCACTATATCTACCCCTCACTGCTAAAGATAAAGGCTTCTGAACATATAGGCAGAATCCTCTGAAGGAAAATAAGATAGGGAACCCCAGTGACATTAGTGATGTCCACATCACCAGAATGGTGCATATGTTTATACTGAGGCCAGGAAGGAACTTATGGCCAGTAACTGACAATACA